AGGATGGAGAACTGAGAGGGATGAGGAGGATTTTGACCAGAGAGAACGTGTGGACGAGATGGAAGATGAGGAAGAGCCAGATGGGGAAGTACTAGCTGGGTAAGAACGAGATGAGAAGGACCTAGATGAGGCAGAATTATGACGAGAGAATTAAGTTAAGATAGAACTTACAGGGAACAACAGATAAAGGTAGAGAGAAATCAGGCAAGAGAGGAGCTAGGCACGAGAACAGAACTGAAGCTGTGTAGATAGGATTTGATCTCAGAGGAATAAAGTAGACGGACAAAGAGCTTGGTGTACTTAATTCATTTCCCGAAAATAATTCTCGATGTTCATAGTTTTCTCTCCTGAGCCCCTGGGAAGTATAATATTAAGGGTGGTCCTTTTAGTATTATACAAGATAAACATATCACAGCAAAATATTTTCTTACAGCAGAAATAGAGAAAATAACATGCAATCATTAACTCGCCTTAACACAGCAGCAAGGCAGGAAGAAGGCAGATGTATTAATAGTTTTGAAAAAATTATGTTATTTTAGACCAGTGAGATGGCTTAGCCGGCACGGCTGGAGACCTGGGTTTAATCCCTGGAGCCCACATAAAGGAGTACCTTCCAGAGAGTTGTCCTCTGACCTCCATGTGCACATGAAACACACCCACACACTTTTTGACAATTGAAAGTGTTTCTTCTTTATTATTATTAGTGATTGTGTGTGTACATATGCACACATGCCATTGCAGATGTGTGTCGGTCAGTTCTCTCTGCCCACCATGGGTTCTGGGCATGGCACTCTGTAGATGTAACCAACTGTCTTATTAAATAAGAAACACAGAGCCAATGCAAAGACGAAAGTCAAGAGATCAGAGCTAAGAGCCTTACCCGTCTGCTGCAGCTAGCCTCTTCAGCCAAGAGAGACCTACTTCCTGTCTGTCTGTCTTTATATAGACTTTCTGTTCTGCCTTCTCATTGGTTGTAAAACCAACCACATGACCGCCTCGTCACTGCCTGTCTGTATAGACCTCCAGGTCTTCTATGGTTGGTATTGAGATTAAAGGCATGTGTCTCCAATGCTGGCTGTATCCTTGAACACACAGAGATCTACCTAGCTCTGCTTACCAGGTGCTGGGATTAAAGGCGTGTGCCACCACCGCCACACTTTTGCTATGGCTCTAATAGCTCTGACCCCCGGGCAACTTTATTTATTAACATACAATTAAAATCACATTTCAGTACAAATAAAATACCACCATAGCACTCAGGACATCAGGCTTGGCAGCAAGCATTTTTACTCAGTGAGCCATCTCTCCAGCGCTGTGTTAATGGTTTCTTAAGGCCCATAGGAAGGTTGGGTAAGACCTAAGAGTAATTCAGATTTCTCGGTTCATGGCACATGGTCCTTGAGATATCCATGCTTATTAAATAGTAGTTCTCTGCTTATTCATTGTGCAGGACCCACTGTTTTCTGTTTTGCTTTCCAAATACAGGTGTTATGGAAGTGACTCACTTATGCCCACTTTTGCTACAAAGCATTATTGTTTTTTAGACGGGGTCTCACATGCTCAGGATGACCTTGAATTCCTGGTCCTCCTGCCTCCACATCCCAAGTGCTGTGATTACAAGCATGGGTCACCATACTGCCCACTCAGCTGTTTTCATGGTCAGCTTGTATCTGGCTTGTTCCTCATAGCTTCCTTAGCCTGATATATATACACCTACCTTAAGCCCAGGGATGGTACCACCCATATTGGGCTGGGCTCTTCTTCAGCAATCCCTAATCAAGAAAATGTCCAACAGGCTCACCTACACGCAATCTGATGTAGGCATTTTCTCAGTTGAGATTCCTCTTCCCAGATAACTCTAGTTTGTGCCTAGTCAAAAACCCAAGCAGATTATCTTGATTACAGTAATTGACTTGGGAAGACCCATCTCAACTGTGGGCAGGATCATTCCCTAGGCAGGGGATCCTGAACTGTATAAGAGTGGAGACAGTGAGCAGAACACTAGCATGCATGGGGCACTAGCATGCATGGGGCACTAGCAGGCATGGGGCACTAGCAGGCATGGGGCACTAGCAGGCATGGGGCACTAGCAGGCATGGGGCACTAGCATGCATGGGGCACTAGCATGCGTGGGGCACTAGCATGCGTGGGGCACTAGCATGCATGGAGTACTAGCATGCGTGGGGCACTAGCATGCATGGAGTACTAGCATGCGTGGGGTACTAGCATGCATGGGGCACTAGCATGCATGGAGTACTAGCATGCATGGGGTACTAACATGCATGGGGCACTAGCAGGCATGGGGTACTAGCAGGCGTGGGGCACTAGCAGGCATGGGGCACTAGCAGGCATGGGGCACTAGCATGCAGGGGGCACTAACATGCATGGGGTACTAGCAGGCTTGGAGTGCTAGCATGCATGGGGTACTAACATGCATGGGGCACTAGCATGCATTGGGTACTAGCAGGCATGGGGCACTAGCATGCATGGGGTACTAGCATGCATGCATGCATTGCTCTCTTCTGATTGGGACATTATATGACCAGCTGCTTCAAGATCCCGCTGCCTTGATATCCCTGCCATGATGGACTGTAACATGGAACTGTGAGCTAAAAATAACTTTTCCTGAAGTTACTTTTGTCAGGGCATTTTATCACAGCAATGCAAAAAGAAACTAAGACAGGCTCTGAGGCTTATTCCATTTGAGAAACACAGGGCAGTGATGAGCCATGTACCTCCATGTGGGTCAGTGACGGGACTTATAGGATGACTGACAGCCTGATGATATGACAGAGACTGATCTGACTTCAAATCCAGAGAATTGAGAGTTTAGATGTGCACTGCCATGTCTAGCTCCGTGTAGCCAGCCCCAGGCTGATGTCAAACTTGTGGTGTAGCTGAGGATGACCTTGAACTCCTGATTCTCCTTCCTCCCAAGTGCTAGGAATATAGGCCTGTATCATCATGCCTGGTTTTATGTGTATAGGGGACCTAACACAGGTTCTGATGCAAGTTAGGAAAGCACTCTCCCAGTTGAGTCACACCTCAGACTCCTCTAGTCTGTGTTTTCAAAATTGTTTTTGTTTTTGTTTTGTTTTGTTTTTTGGGTAGTGTTTGTTCAGCTGTTTTACACAAGGGATCCTGAGCAACCAAGAGAAATTTGGTGCTGACGGTAAGGATTTGAGGGCATGGCCAGGATGCTGGGGATTAAGCCTGGGGCTCAGTGCATGCTAGGCAAGCACTAAACCAACTGAGCCACCCCCAGCCTGCTAAGGTAATTTTGAACCCTAAGTTATTTTAGAGCCTCAGGCAGAGCCCAAGGCCCCAACCTGGAGGCACAGTGCCACCTGGTGGCAGCTCGGAAGAACAGGAGCCGACGCGGAAGTGGAACCTGCGGCCTGCTTTGTGATCATTTTATTCCAAATTGTATACAGAACCTCCGAGTCCTACATATTTCCGTAAAAATTACAGACTTCAGCTTATGAGAGCACAGAGTGCCAGAAAGAAGATGCAGCGATGCAGTCTAGTCCCAGGTTTATTTTGACTAGCTGTGACTTGGGCCACTGCTTCTGGTGTCTTCTGGGAAAGGTGACAGGGAAGAGGAGGGAGGAGGTGGAGGATCAGGGGCGCTACCAGTCCCATCCACCCAGGGTTGAGGGTTCTGCTCCTTTCCATCTCCAAACAGAGCAGCTGTTTACTTTTGTGAGAGACAAGGTCTCACTATGCAGCCCTGGCTGGCCTGGAACGCCCGATGTAGTCCAGGTTGGCTTCAAACTCAGAGATCCACCTGCCTCTGCCTCCCGAGTGCTGGAATTAAAGGCGTGGACTACCATGCCTGGCTCCTATTTTAAAGATTTACTATTATGAGATTTATGTACACAGGTGTTTTGCCCACACTGAGTGTCTGTACACCATGTGTGTGCAGTGCCTGGGGACAGAAGGCACTCGATCCCCTGGAACTGGAGTTACAGATGGTTGTGAGCTGCCATGTGGGTGCTGGGAATGGAACCTGGGTCCTCTGGAAGAGCAGCCAGTGCTCTTAACCACTGGACCATCTTTTCTAAGTCCTTAATTACTAAAATAAATTTTATATCATGTCAGATTTTGTATGAACAGAGTAGAAAGCTGGGCATGGTGGTCCACATCTTTAATCCCAGCACCTGGTGGGTGGAGTCAGTAGTTCAAAGTCATCTTCAGCCTCCTAGTGAGTTTGAGGCCAGCCTTGGCTACTGCTACATGAGACGTTGTCTTGAAATGCAAAAATAAATAAGCAGTTAAATAACTTACAAAGAGCAGACTTGTAGAGCTTAAGTAAGTCTTAAGGGCTAGAAAGATGGCTCAGCAGTTAAGAGCATTAGATGATCTTCCAGAGGACTCCAGTTCCAATTCCCAGCACCGACATAGCCACTCACCATGGTCTGTAACTCTAGTTCCAGGGGAATCTAATGTCCTCTTCTGGCCTCTGAAGGCACCAGGCATGCATGTGGTGCACATTCATGCAGACAGAATACCCATACAAATAAATATATAAATAAGTATTAGCAGCAGTCCATGTTAGGATACTCCTGTAATCCACCAATCACCTTTGAGGTAGAGGCAGGAGGATTAGGAAGGAATTCAAGGCCAGTCCAGGCTACATAAGAGTGTGAGGGCAACCTGGGCTGAGCCCTTGTATCAAAAACAAAAGAAAATAGTAATAGAATTATAATTATTTCTGGTTTCAATACTGGAATGTGGAGTTATTTTTTCCCCCAGCAATATATCATTTTAGCTAAGGAGTACAGCAGGCAGCACTTTCCCTGGCAGAGTGGACTTACAGCATTATCTGCTGTCGGTGACCCTTCGGACTGTGGGTGGCACAGGGTGGCACCAATGTGCAGCAGGACTCTTGTTCACACATCAACTGTGGCTTTTGACTTTCCTGCCTTTTATGTTATTGCCTGATCAGTCCTAAGACACACAGTGAAGAGACTGCACACAAAGAACTCTGCTCAATGGGCTGATTTAAAAAAACAACTTTTTATTAGTTTCAACATCAAAACTTGTTACAGGTAATTGCAAAGTGTCCCCCAAATTACATTCTGCTTTTGTCACCTCACAGGACAAGGAATGTTTAGAGATCCTCAGAACACAGGACAGTTGAAGCTGATAATGAACTATGGCCCACCACATCAAGCTCACTAAAACACAGGACACACGGACGAAAATCACTGACCGTTTTTCACAAGTGCAGCGGTATTCACTACAGAGCACGGGACCAGGGAGATTACAGACATGTCCAGATTCAGGACGAAATCCAGCGGCAGGTTTGGTTACGAAGAACTAAGTACAACAGCTGTGAAGGCTTTCTCACCCTTCAAAGATGCAAAGGGTACACAAGTGACAGGAATAAATACTCAGGGGCTGAAAGCAGAGGGTATGGCACAGTCACAGGACTGACACCTGTTGTCTCTCCTTAGTCCTCGAGCTGACTTAGGAAGACTGGAGACCAACAGGGAACAGTACAGAAAAACACAAATTATCTGCATAGATAGAAAAGAAATCCTCCTTCTGACAAGAATGCATACCTAGTCAAGGCCATGTGGGAGCTCCAAGGGTCACAGGACCCACTTCAAGGGTTGCAGGTTTCCAAGAGAAAGCACAAATCCAAGTTAGCAGGTCTCTGCACATTTCCTTCCCTGAGGTCACTTCTCAGCCTTGACTAGAAACCTTACAGGGAACAGGACAAGTTTCCAGCCCTGGCCAGAGACCCAACAGCTGCTACTATCTGCAGCTGGGCTGTGTGTCCACCCAGAAACCCTTGTTGTTGAGACAGGGTCTGACGCATAGACCAGGCTGACCTTAAACTTGCAACAATCCTCCTACCTTCGCCTTGAAGTGCTGGGATGACGGGCATGTGTCACCATGCTTGACCACATCTGGTAATTCTGATTCTGAACTATCACAGTTTGCTCTACTTAAGAGTGAAGGAACTGGCCGGGCGGTGGTGGCGCACGCCTTTAATCCCAGCACTCGGGAGGCAGAGCCAGGCGGATCTCTGTGAGTTCGAGGCCAGCCTGGTCTCCAAAGCGAGTTCCAGGAAAGGCGCAAAGCTACACAGAGAAACCCTGTCTCGAAAAACCAAAAAAAAAAAAAAAAAAAAGAGTGAAGGAACTGTGGCATGCTGAGGATGAGGACGGCTCTGGAGAACCATACTGCAAGGGGAGTGTAAAACACCAACAGTCATTTGTCATGTGGTGTCAGGGTCCATATACCTTACTCTTCCCACGTACCTAACCGTGCAGAACGAGTCTCTAGAACATGGCTTCTTGGTTGGAAACCAATATTTTCCCAGGACTTTTGTTCCTCTATATTGTCACACTAAGAAAAGAAAAACACCTTTTTTTCCCGCTTTGAGACAGGGTTTTGCTTATGTATCCCAGGCCAGTCTCATTCTCTCAATCCTCCTGCCTCACCCTCCTGAAGGCTGAGATTACAGGCCTGTGCCACCACACCCAGACAGTTGTTTCCTTTAACACAAATGTATTAAGGAACACAGAGGGAGGAGGAAAGGTGACAAGCTCACCTGTGTGACAGGTGAGGGCCAAGGCTCTACAGAGAAGAGGGCAAGCTGGCAGGCATGAGCCCCAGGCATCAAAGAATACACTTCCACTGATAATTATACCTAAAGCTTTCCTTTAAAAAATAAATCCTTGAGTCTATAAAATAGTTTACATAAAAATATAAAGCCCATGTCCATCTTTAGGGTTGAATAGAACTTGATTTTCTAAGCACAGAGGGAGAGGGACTTCCCCCAGCAAACCTTTAACTACATGCATGTGGCCTCTGTGCCCAGGTCCTTTCTTATGACTGTTTACAAGTTAACTGCATGAATGTGACTATCCAGGGAAGCCCACATAAAGTGCTAACATAAGTGCTGATGACCAAGGATTATGTAAGCAGATTGCAAGCCCACAGCTCAATGGTGATAAAAACACAAGCCACAATCAAGCTGATCAACAACTCCCAAGTCACTGCCTCCATCACTGATGTTTCTTATTTATCCTAAGGAGGAGTCTCTCCTACCTGCTGGGCCTTCAGTTCTTCTCTATGTGACAGGGAGGAGCATCCTCCACATTTTAAGAGCCCAATGCATGAAATGACATGGAAGAACAGGGAAGGCCAACTGCAGTCCCCACTACGCTGTGCACTCCCATGTAAGTCTGGTGCCAGCTCAGCCACATTGATTCTAAGACAGTCAAAGCATTTCACTTGATAATCATGACTTTTTTTTTTTTTTTTTTTTGGTCTGATTTGCTTTTTTAGACAGGGTCTCACTGTGTAGCCCTGGCTGGCCTCGAACTCACTGAATTCTGAGATCCATCTGCTGTACTAAAATTAAAGGTGTTCCCATCATGGCCAGCCATAATCATGACATTTTAAAAAGGCAGGCCTGGGGCTGGAGAGTAGCTCAGTGTGTAAGAGTGCTTGGTGCTCTTGAGGACCAGAGTTCAGTTCCTTCCCAGTACTCACTTCGGATGCTTTACTACTGTCTCTAGCTCCAGGAGATCCAATGCCGTTTTGGCCTTTGTGGGCACCCATATGTACACATACACACTGACATACACACTGACACATAAATAAAATAAATCTTTAAACCGTACCACTCTATATTCTCACTTTTAAAATACTTTTAGAGACAGAATTCATGAAAATGGCAAACAGCTGTCCCCTTATGGGACAAACTGCTCCTGACCTGTCCCCTGGCTATCCCCTCAACTCAAACAGCCCATTTAGTGGCCACAATGATCTATGTAAACCTTTATGTGAAACTTAAAATCTTCTCTGTATAATCCTCTCCCCTTTTTTGAGATAACCCAACGTAGCCCAGGCTGGCCTTAAATTCACTATTTAGTTGAGGACAACCCTGAACTCCTGACCCTTCTGCCTCCACCTCCCGGGTGCTGGGATTACAAGTGTGTGCCAGCCCACCTGGCCTCTTCCTAATGTTTGAGGGATGCTGTAAGAGTACCTGACTATCAGTTTTCCAAGATGAAGGGCTGCTCTTATCTCCTTCTGCCTCTCCACCTCTTTACATGGATTGATCTTTGGTTTCCACAGGTGGGTGTGTTGGGAAAATCTAGAATCTAAGAGCCAAACTCCTGGAGTCCTGCTGGCCAGCCCTCCTAAGTGTCATGTCTTCATTACCCTCCACAGGGTTTTTCCTAACACAAAACCCATTCTCTTTCCTTACATTCCTCATAGTTGGATTCCCACAGAGGTTCTGATTCTGAAGAAACCATGGTTACTTTTAGAGTTTCTTTCTGTAGAATGAATTGCAGATTTCTTAAGGAAAAGTGAGAAAGAGCTCCCAAAGAGCAGCTCCCAAGGATCTCAAAGGGGGGATGCCAGAATCCCCTAGTAGAATTAATTCTAAGAAATAATTCAGCTGGGCGGTGGTGGCGCACGCCTTTAATCCCAGCACTCAGGAGGCAGAGCCAGGCGGATCTCTGTGAGTTCGAGGCCAGCCTGGTCTACAAAGCGAGTTCCAGGAAAGGCACAAAGCTACACAGAGAAACCCTGTCTTGAAAAACAAAAACAACAATAACAACAACAAAATGGATGGGTATTTTTTCTTCTAGAGTTTGTTTTATGGAAATATTATACCAGAGAAGAGGAAAATATTAACATTTGCTATCCAGGAAAGTTTAAATGACTGCCCTTATCCTTGCACACACCCCCATACATACACACAATTTAATACTCTCAAAAAATTTAAAGAGATGAGTAGTTTGTACTTCTTGACTTAAATAAAAAAGGAAGAGGCCAGGTGTGGTGGCACACACTTTTAATTCCAGTACTCAGGAGGCAAAGGCAGGTGGCTCTCGGTGAGTTCGAGGCCTTCCTGGTCTACAGAGTGAGATCCAGGACAGTCAGAGCTAAAACAGAGAAACCCTGTCTTGAGAGAAAATAAAAAAGGCGATGTTCTTTAATTGGCAGCTAAAAAATGAAAGCCAAGACAAACTTAAAAATTGGGTTTTGATCACTTAGAAAATTAGAATTTCTTTTTCTTCTTCTTCTTCTTTTTTTTTTTTTTTGGTTTTTCGAGACAGGGTTTATCTGTGTACCTTTGCACCTTTCCTGGAACTCGCTTTGGAGACCAGGCTGGCCTCGAACTCAGAGATCCGCCTGCCTCTGCCTCCCGAGTGCTGGGATTAAAGGCGTGTGCCACCACCGCCCGGCTGATAATTTCTATTGCATAACGGGGAACACAAAAACTTCCCAACTGCTGAAAATCTACTTGCTTGCTGGCAGCTAGGGTCTGTCCTGCAACCCAAAGAAGCAAACTGCTGAGCTCAGAATTGCAAAATCAAGGTGGGTGCAAAGGAGAGCCTATCAGGTAACCCGACAGATGATGATTTGGATCCGACAAACCAGTGTGGAAGGAATCGTAATCTTCAATGGAATCCACCCGAGTTTCCCAATGGCAAACACGCAGATTGGCATCTGAGGGCTGAGAGTGTCTGAGGCAAGGACAACTCCTTCTGTTGTTGCTGCTGTTAGGTGTGGTGGTGCGTGCCTGAGACCCTAGCGCTTAGGAGACAGAGGCAGGAGCAGAGTCCAAGGTCATCCTTGAGACCATAGCAAGTTTGATGTCAACCAAGACTGTGTGAGACCCTGTTTCAACAAGTTAGACGACATTTGTGTGTATGTCTGTAATACAGTTTAAATCTTCAGAAATCAATTCTACCACACAAGACACGCAGCCCTAACACGTCACCCAAAGAACACAGCCATCATGGCTTCAATCTCTCCACTCTTCTTTACAGTAGCTGCTATGTTCATTTCTTAGTTCTATGTCTAGTCCCTTCATAAACACCAGCCAGCTCTGCATATGTGCCATGTAGTAAGAGAGCACAGTGAGAGGGTGGGGCTAGCTGACCCACCTGGAGCAGGGCACTCCTGGGCAGGAGAGCATTCTTCAAGAGGGACTGCAGCCCCAGCACACTAGTGATGCTGCACTGACATGTGCAAGAAGCAATTCTATCTAAATGTCAACTGCAAGCTAAGGTGGAAAATTTTATTAAAAAGGGAAGCATGAACTGCACACAGTGCCTTATACCTTCAATCCCAGGATTTGCCGGGCGGTGGTGGCGCACGCCTTTAATCCCAGCACTCGGGAGGCAGAGCCAGGCGGATCTCTGTGAGTTCGAGGCCAGCCTGGACTACCAAGTGAGTTCCAGGAAAGGCGCAAAGCTACTCAGAGAAACCCTGTCTCGAAAAACCAAAAAAAAAAAAAATAAAATAAAATAAAAAAATAAAATACCTTCAATCCCAGGACTCAAGAGGCTGAGGAAGGAGAACAGTCTTGGGCTCAAGGCCAGCCTGGGCTACAAAGTGAAACCCTGTCTTCAAACAAACAAACAAAGAAACAAACAAACAAAAAAAAAAAAAAAAAGAAAGAAAGAAACAACTCCTCCCAATTTAAAGTGGTCTTCAGAAAGTCTTATTATTTTCTAAAATTTAAGACTGTGACTAGCATCCCCAAATCTACACACAGCGCAGGACAACTCGAGCAGTGACAGGCCAGCATCAGGATGGTCAGGAGATTACCTGAAGAGCTGCTGCTCCTCCACAGGCTGCAACTCCTTGTCATCAGCAGCCAAGCTCCCAGTGACACAGCCTGCTTGCAGAGCCCAGGCTTACCTGGGAGGGCTGCACTGGGGGCAGGGTTCTGTGCACCACCTCCACCAACTGCAAGAGGGCTATCGAGATCAAGAGCACATCTGTGCATGCTGTGTGGAGCTGACAATCTCATTCATTTGGCATTTCATTCCAAAGGCTAGTGGAAAAATACTGGAGAAAAATGACTTCCACACATGATTTTGTATCCAACAAAAAAGAAGTCATGTACACTGAGTAACATTCAGCCTTTGCTCAATGTATTTGTTAGACACTACCACACCAGTACAAAAATACCCACACCAAATTACTGAAATTGTAAGACTAATTTTTAAATCTGTAAAAATGGTAGTGCACTGGGTGATTCTAGTTCTGGCCTTTGGTACCCAACGATCTACACGTTCAGGGGAACTAAGGTTTCTGGGGGAGGAGTCAGGCGCCACACAGTGGGGGCTAACCTTGTCGCGTAAAGTGCCATTTAGAATATGTTCAAAATTTCAAACAGCTGGCCACATCTGCTACTTCACCCCACGTTCCGGCCTGGCAAGGCTGGCCCGGCTGCCCAATGGATGCGGCGGCATCTCCTGGCTGCGCTCCAGTGCAGGTGCAGCAGCAGCAGCATCAGGAAGCACAGGTGCAGCAGCAGCAGCAGCATCAGGAAGCACAGGTGCGGCGGCAGGGCTCACAGTGCACAGTCCAGCTGCTCACTCAGCGCGGCCGTGGGGGCCTCTGGGCGCCGAGTCTGCGTGATTTTCTGTTTGGGGTTTTTTGCATCTTCTTCCTCTTCAGTTTCGCTTTCACAGACGTGCACCACCACGCTGGGAGTGGACTCGGTTCCTGCGTGCAGTTCGTATTTCTCCCCTGCCGAGGTAAGCAAGGAAAGAGACTTACTGCCAGTGGAAGGAATTCATTTCTTTTATCTCCCAACTTCCTCTTGCACTAACTCATTTAACAGCTGCTGATTTTTTGAGACTGAGTCTCAGGAAATCTGGGCCAGTCAGAAACTTGCTGCTGTAGCTGAGGCTGGCCTTGAACTCTGATTTTTCTGCTTCTATCTCCCAAGCGCTAAGATTGCAGGCATGGACTGACTCGGTGGGTTTGTGGCTTACAGTCTGTAAAACCAATCTGTCCTTCACTGGAGGCTTACCGTGTTCGGAATTAAGAAATTTCCTTTTTTTCCCCCTCTCGATGGGGTCTCACTATGCAGGCAGGCTTGTGGGAGGCCAGCTCCCACCTTCTCAAGGGTTCTTATGAGGAGGAGAGAGGGATAAGAAATAATAGGTAGAAAGACACCTAGAGGATGAGAGGAAAGACAGAACATAGGATGGCCTTGGGAGGGCCTGGACCACTATCCAATGGCCTCTTCCATTTATTCAAATAGTAACAATGCCAAGGGGCGGGGCAAAAGACACCCCCTTACAAGATCAAAGCACACCACACAGCCAAACACCTGGTAACCATGCCCGTGGTCAACTCATCTCCTTATGCAGCCCTGCTGAGTAAAGCAAGCTCAGATTCTTGGACCCTGAGTAAGTTCTCACTAGGAAACCTCTGTGGGTCTCCACATAGGCTGGCCTGGAACTCCTAGTGACTGCCTGCCTCCGCCTCCGAAGTGTTGTTAAAGGTAAGTGCCCCCATAGAAATTCCATTTAAAAAAAGGCACTGTCCTTTCTGTCCTGGGCCCTGGAGTTAAGATCCAAGCATAGCTGCTAAGCATGCAGTCACCTTAAGGACAGACTTCTGTTAGCACACCCTGAAACTACCCTTATTCACAACCACATCCTGAACAACATGTTAATCTCCATGACTTTACAGTGAGCGTGCTCAGGAATGGGCCTGCCACTATATGAATATACACAAGCTTCCTTCTTCGGGGAGGGCCTAGCTTTGGAAACAGCTCCTGTCTCTCCCTACAGGTGATAAAGCTTTCTCTTCTATCCTATGCTTACTTTGGCTTTGTGCTCACTAAGAATGGGAACCCACTGATTAGATTACATAAATACTAATTAAAATGGTAATATAAATGCTAATTGCTGCTCTACAAATAACTAAGGTGGGTTAGTTACATTCATAAAGGTTTTGGGTCCCATGGGGAGCACTGGCTAGGCTCCAGGATGCAGTCTCTAGTGTAGGACCTGACATCTGAAGGAGTTCAAATGTCCACAAGCATAAAGCTCCCTCTCAGATGCCTCTGAAGTCCCCTGAAGAGACACACTGTCCTTAATGGGGGAATCAGCTCCTCACATTGTTAAGGCGATGAGAGAGACAAGCAGAGAAGAAAGTAAGAAACGAAAAAGAAAAAGTAAAGAGAAACTTTGGAAGGCGTGACAGGTGGCCATCACTAAATAACACAGAGCAGCCGCATCTGCATAGTGCTGGACTGGGCTGCAGAGAGAAAGCAGCGAGTGTTCTCTAGCTGCCTATGTCGAGTCCCAGCTGAATCACTAACAGTGAAAATTACCATGCTGCACACACCACCCAACCCTTACAACCCTGCTCAGGTAACTCGGGCTCATCGGCAACGGGCTGAGGACCACAGCACTGGAAAATGCAGTTAGAGCGTGGACCCAGACTGGTGTGACTGCAGAGTCCACCGGGCAGTGCCACTGTTGCTGGCCTCCACAGCCTACTGAACATGGTCTCCGACACACAAAGCTCCCGGGGACAGATGGTAAGAGCAAAGCAGAACCCGTTACCTGGCCCCAGCTTGGAGACAGCACAGAGTAAGTCATAGTTGATCACAGGCATGGCATCCTCACTCTGCTTCCACCCCACTGGTGGGGAGGCTGGAGGGGAGATGAGGAACTGCTTGGTGGGCTGTGGTGGCAGTAAGTAGGACTTGTCCCGAGCCTCCCCGGACACCTGCACCTGCAGGAAGGACAGGATCACGAGCACTCTGCAAACACATCTTCCTCGTCTTCATTTGTCATCTTTATGGTAACTGCTACTTTCTTAGAGGGGTGACTAAACATGTCTCTAAAACATCTGTGATCTCCCAGGGGGTGGACTGGGTTCACCTGGCTCACTGCACCAGGCCACACACACTGGGTCCTTGACAGACATGAGCTGAGTGAAAGAATACATGTAGAAACAGATGGACAAAGAGATGCACAGCAGGAACTACGGCTGTGATCTGGCTCTAAGTGTTCCTCAGGGTCGGTGTGGTAGAGGCTTGCTCCCTGAGGGGTGAAACTGGGCGCCTTTGGGAGGCAGGGAGGTCATTAGTCACTGGGAGCATACTCTAAGGCACAGGGGGACCCCAGCCCCTTATTCTTCCTGTTTCCATGAAGGAGGTGAACAGCTTTGCTCTGCCTTCATGAGCTGCCCCTACTGCAGGTCCAAAGGAAAAGGGGCGATCCTCTATAAACTGAAACCTCCAAACCATGAGCCAAGACTTTTCTCCTCTGCAGCTGATTACCTCAGGTATGAGTTACGGTGTGTGTGCTGGCTAGTTTTATGTCACTTGACACAGCTTTCATCACTGAGAGAAGGGAACCTCAACTGACAAGCTGCCTCCATAAGACTGGGATTAGGCAAGCCTGTAGAGCATTTTCTTACTTAGTGATTGATGGGGGAGGGCCCTGCCTATTGTGGGTGGTACCACCCTGGGCTAGTGGTCCTGGGTTCTATAAGAAAGCAGGCTTAACAAGCCATGAAGAGCAAGCCAGTAAGCTGCACCCCTCCATGGCCACTGTATCCTGCTTCCAGGTTCCTGCCCAGGTAGAGTTCTTGCCTAGGCTTCCCTCAATGGAAAGTGATATGTAAACCAAATAAACCTTTTCGTCTCCAGGTTGCTTTTGGTCATGGTGTTTCATCACAGTACCAGTAACCCTAACTCAGTGGGATAGTACTATAGTGGAATAGTGACTAACACACTAAGTTCCAGTCTTAGAAGAGATAAAATTGCTTGTGTGGCAGTCAGAGGTCACAGGTCGGCTCTTTCCTTCCATCATGTATGTATATGTTCCAGGGATCAAACTCAGGTCCTCAAGCTTAGTGGCAAGTACCTTTACCCACTGAGCCCTCTTGATGGCCCTTGAAGATTTTCCTCTCTGTTCTCCCATGGATGACACATCCTAAGTGCCATTTTAGATGCAGAGAACATTTAATCCACTAACCTGAAGTGCCAGGGCTTAACCCTCACAGAACCTCAGTCGAGCAAAGCTGCCAGGAAAATGAATCCCTTAACTTAGTCTCAGCAAACAACGACAGAAGGCTTACTACACTCCTAAGATAGAGGAACTTGTGTATGGGTAAAGTAAGAGAAAACGTTCCATCGTCTGCTCGCGGGAACGCTGACTCACAAACCTCTGACCCACGGCTGGAGGGAGAACTGTAGAGCTGTGATGGAGAAGCAGCTGCGGGGCGCGCAGCCACACGGCACGGCACACAGCCGCTTGTCACGCAGCCACACGGCACGCAGCCGCTTGTCACGCAGCCACTCGGCACGCAGTACCTGTGCAAAGTACAGCTTCAGCTTCTGGCCATGGAAGTCACTCTCGTGGAGCTCTATCCGAGCTCTGGCCGCAGCCTCGGGCTTGCTGAAGTTGATCCGCACTCTGCGGAAGCTCTTGAACAACTGGAACGTGACCTGGTCATCATAGAGGGTGAACAGAGCTTCGAACCTCTCCTGCGAGGCGGAGACAAGGGGGACGAAAGAACAAATACTCCAATTAACAGGAAGCCTGCTGAAGAGAGGTGGCTGGTGACACTCCCTGTGTAGCGCACATTTTCTCCAAGGCACTCGGAGTGGATATCGCGTGACTTGTGCAGACTCCCATCTGCAGTCTGCGCTGACTGGAAACGGCTAGCTGTGTTAAATACTGCAGCCTCAAAGGTCATAAAATAAATAGGATGGCTAAAACGGACACGTCTCCACACAGAACAGGAGCACGGCCACCGCGGTCACCTATGTACCCAGCCGTGCTGTTCCTCTGTCAAAGGAACATCTCTGGCATTTGGGGTGACCCTTCCCCTGCTTTCTTCACAGTGCTAGGCATCTGTCTGCTGCTTAAGTTTGACACACTGGGCGGGCGACTGCTTCCTCTTAGAACCTGAACACCTCCCCCAGCATGTACGCACAATAAAACACAGAGAAATCACTCCTACCTTTTGTTTTTTGTTTTTATTTTTGAGACTCGGCTCTCCTGCAGTCCAGGTCGGCCTCTAACTTGCTAGTAGCTGAAGACAGCCTTGAACTCCTGGTTCGCCTACCTCCAGCTCTGGGAGAACTGATAACAGGTGCCACCAGGCCTGGCCGCTTCCTAACTTCTGCTTTGGACTTCTATGTATCCTTATGCTTTAGGAACGTTTCAGAAGCAGCACGTGTACACGTGATGTGCGTGTGATGTGTGCATGTAAATAAAGCCAATTTACCACTCACTGTCTTGTCCTGAGAGTGTCTCTCACTATGTCGTCCTGGCTGGTCTGAAACTCAGAGATCCACCTGCTCCTGCTCCTGAATGCTGGAATTATTAGATTGGCCTTTAAAATCTTCAACTATTAAGCTGGGCAGTGGTAGCGCATGGCTTTAACCCCAGCACTCGGGAGGCAGAGGCAGATTTCTGTTGAGTTCGAGGCCAACCTGGTCTACAGAGTGAGTTCCAGGGCAGCCAGGGCTCTTACACAGAGAAACTGTCTTGGAAAAAAATTTTAATAGATAAATAAATTCAAATATTAAACAAGTTTTAGTAGTGTTTTTGGTTATACAGACTATAAAGAAATCGGGGTCAGAAGACCCTAATTTCAGAACAGATTCTTACTTGCCATTCAGCCTGCTTCCTGAGAAGTCTGCACCATTCCTCCTCAGCCACTACTATGGAAAACCCACCCATGGGGCAGCGGATAGCTCATGGGTAAAGGTGCTTGCTGCCTTCCCCGATGACCTGAGTATTCAATCCAGCTGCTGCTCTGTATTTGGTCATGTTGAGTGTCCCCATCAAAAACAGGACTGGGGGTCAGGCAGACCTGCCTTCACATGCCCCATCACCACAAGAAAACCACTCAAAAATCAACAGATATATATTCTGTATACAAAGGGACACATGACATTTCATACCAGCCAGTCCTACCTCGAATAATTCTCTGAGGCTGGGGAGATGGCTCAGTGGACACTTGGCATTCAAGTGTGAGAACCAGTGTTTAGATACCCAGGACCCATATAAGAAGCTGGGCAGGCATGATGGCCTGTAATCCCAGTGATTAAGGGGAGACAGGAGCTGGAGAGTTACACTAGTCGAATCAGTGAGCTCTAGGTTCAGTAAGAGACACCTGACATTAACATCTGTCCTCCTCATGCATGCACACATATACCCACAAGCACACGTGTGAACACACACACACACACACACACACCCCACATACATATATACCGAACTTCACTCTGCATTAACATTGACTGAGTCCACACGCAGACCTAAGGTACACATTAGGAAAAGATGTATTACATTTTCAAACTCATGCTCAATCATAAGCAAGTCTGTTTCCTATTTTAAGAAAAGGAAAGTTGGTGGCTAGAAAATGGCTCAGTGGGCAAGGAATCTTGACCATCAGAGTTTGATCCCTGACCCCACATGGTAGAAACAGCCCACAGACTCCTGAAAGTTGTTCTCTGGCATCTATACTTGTGCTGTGGAATATGCTCCACCCCTAAATAAATGTAAAGTATCGAAATTTCCTTGGGGGGCCTGCCTAGAGGAGATTTCTCCCACAGTCCTGGGGAGGAGGCTACGGTGTGGGGTAATCTGAGGGGTTCTCTATTAAATCTACATACACAAAACCTTTGATTTATTCACTTTATCTTTATTTTTTTTTAAGATTTATTTATTTATTATGTATACAGTGTTCTGCTTGCATGTGTCCCTGCAGGCCAGAAGAGGGCAACAGATCTCATTACAGATGGTTGTGAGCCACCATGTGGGTGCTGGGAATTGAACTCAGGACCTCTGGAAGAGCAGTCAGTGCTCTTAACCGCTGAGCTGGCTCTCCAGCCCCTTTATTTACTTTATTTTTCTGAGTCAGTTCTCTAATTCTGCTCTCTCCCTTAGCTCCTTTCTTGCCTGATTTCCTTCTACATTTATCTGCTGTCTCCTCCAAGTTCTATCTTAAGTCTCTCATCTTAGTTCTGGCCCATCTTGGTCTTTCTCATCTCGTTCTTCCCCATCTGGCTCTTCCTCATCTTCCATCTCATTCTTCTAGTTCTCCAGTCAAAATCACCTCTAAATCTCTGAGGTTTACAGTTATATACCCATGCAATAGCAGTGCTCTAGCTAAAGCAAGGTTACCAGGCTTGAATTCTTACAGGGTGGTAAAGGCAGACAAGAGTTTTCCTCAGGCAGTGACCGTCAGGCTTTCTTTTACAACCCAAAAGGGGAGTGGTAAAGAAGGAGGAGGTCAACTAAGCTAAAATGGGTTGATATATCAGGAAAAGGGAATTTATGTGCTCAAAACTACATTCCTAAAAATGGTTAGGTAAAATGTTAAAGAGTCTATAATGTTAGTATAAATACCACTAAGGTATTTAAAGGTTAAAAGTTCTTAGGGAGGTTATGAGCACACATGAAATTCATAGTAGAGAACAGCTGATACATTAGAAGCCGAATAACACCAAATACTCGCTGAGATTTGGCTTACTCCTCTGGAAGGCCCTCAGCTTCTTCCAAGTATTAGCTTGTCATAAACAGTCTGAGGCCAGTCTGGTCTACAAAGTGAGTTCCAGGACTACCTGGGCTGTTATAGAGAAACTCTGTCTCTAAAAAACAAAAAAAAAAAAAAAAAAAAAAAAAGGAAAAAAAGAAAGAAAACTAGGGCTAACGAGATGGCTCTGTGGTTGAGAATATTTGCTGCTCTTGCAGAGGACCAGGATTCATTTTCCAACATCTACATTGTAGGTGGCTCACAACCATCTACAACTCCAGTTCCAAGGGATCTAATACCCTCATCTGGTTTCTTTGGAGATCCATACAAATAAAACTTAAAAAGAAAAAGAAGAAGAAAAGAAAACCAACAAGAACTCAATTTTTCATGGAGTCACAACCTTCCCAGGCCATGTGTGGGAAAAAAACGGAAATAGATTTACTGGTGTGAAGTTCCTCCCAATAAGTCTCTTTAAAACTTAAAATGTGAATTATTATTATTTGTGTGCATGAGTGGGTGTGTGGGTGGAGGTCTCAGAACTGTGTGGCATCCATGCTCTCCTGTCCTTCCTGTGGGTTTCCAGGGAGACTGTCAGGCTTGCATCACTGAGTGGCAGGCCTTTTCCCAGTGACCCATCTCACTGTCCCCAAAGAATTCTCACAACTGTGATTTTTGGATAAAGTGGTCCTAAGATCCTCTCAGATACCAAAATGCTTGTATATACATTGCTGGATACAAACAGGGCAGTTTTTGCAAAGAACTAGCATACTTCTCCGTTATGTTAAACCACCTCTCCATGATCTACACAGAATTCAATGTAAACAGTTTTTATACTGTATTGCTTAGGAATGACAAAGATCTGTAAATACTCAGTATAGAAACAACTTATTCTTTTTTTCTCCTCTTTCCTTTTCTGAGACACGGTCTCACTATGCAGCCCTTATGGCTAGCCTGGAACTCACTATGCAGACCAAGATGGCCTCCAACTCACAGAGACCCACCTGTCTCTGCCTCCCATGTGCAGGGATTAAACCTGTACATGCGTAGTGCTAGATACAATTTCTTAACAGAACATTTTCCACCAGTGACTGTTTGAACTCTGGGATGCTACCTCCACTGAGATACAAAAGGCTGGGTTTAATACCTGTGCTTTCTTACGATAACAAATAAATTGTCTCTAACATGAAATTCAGAGCTCTTAAACAGATGAGAAAAGCAGGATGGATGATTTCAGATTTTTAAACTGTGGCTGAACTGGACAAAGAAACAGCACTTGTGAAATAAAACAACCTGCAGAGAAACCCCTTTGTGATGACCATGCCGGCCAGCCCCTGCTGCATAGGTTCTCATCTTCAGGCAGGACCCCTGAGCCACTCCCCCACCCCACCACACTCATATGCCCAGGACTGTTTGGATTGCCGCCCTTTGCTCAGAAGCTGTAGAGACTACATTCTGCAGAAGGGCCAGCTCTTCCACTTGGCATCAGGGTGCTTCACAGGATGGCCCAACATCCACCTCCCAGCAAGTGTTGTTGACTTGGGTACTTATCACCTGTATGTCAACCACACAGAATGCTCTTTACTCTCTCCTGCCATACACTGTCTTAATTAGGTTTCTTAGTATATCTGGTTTCCTCTGGCTAAAACTTCCTTCATTTTCTCTGCTAAAATTCTAACTCTCACAGCTCTTTCCCAGTGCCACATGCCCTTCCGAGAGACTTACTGAACCTGGCTGTGAATGTGTCTGCTGAAACTTTGATGGACTTCCAATGTTCCTAGAGGGACTAACTTTCCACTTTGTACCTGATCCATCAGCTCCACTACAGGACTGTATACCCATGACTCAAAAGCTGTGTAATTCGCACTCTATCCCCCAACCTAACCGGCATGGAGCCTTACACTACAGGTGTTTGAACATGTATCCAGCTCTGCCCTGAAAGACACTAAAGGAAGTCCAGCCTGGGCTACAGAGTGAGAATGGGTCTCACTGAAAGGAAAATTCTTTGTACATAGTAACATTTACGGGCCAAGTCAGGAGAGGTGGTTTCTATCTGTGTTCCCAGTGCTCAGGAGGCTGAGGAGGACTGTCCAGATGTCAGCCTAGACCACAGTGAGACTATGCCAGGAAAAGAGAGAAAGAGAGAGAGAGAGAGAGAGAGAGAGAGAGAGAGAGAGAGAGAGAGAGAGAGAGAAAAGGAAGATAGGTATGTAGGCTTTTATGAGTGTAGAAAGTAATACCAGAAATGTTAACAATGAGCTAATAATTAGCCCTAATAGCCTACATGCAATAAGCCCCAAGAAAAAGCTGAATTCCTTAAGAATTTTTTCTCTTTTTTTTTTCCTTTTCTTTCTTTTTTTTGGTTTTTCAAGACAGGGTTTCTCTGTATAGCTTTGCGCCTTTCCTGGAACTGGAACCTTCAGGCTGGCCCTGAACTCACAGAGATCCCCCTGCCTCTGCCTCCCTAGTGCTGGGATTAAAGGCGTACGCCACCACGGCCTGGCTCTGAATTCCTTCTTTAGTGAATGTACAAGGAGGAAGCGAGGCAAAAAAATCATGTGCTTGGAGGCTGGGCATGGTGACATATCCCTGTGACATATCTCAGTGTTCAGGAGTTAGAGCTGGGAGATCACTGGAAGTTCCAGGTCAGCTTGAGCCACACAGCCTATTCCAGGCCAGCCTAAGTCACACAGCCAATTATAGGTCAGTCTGAAGCACAGAGCAAATCCTAGGCCAGCCTGAGCCACATAGCCAATCCCAGGCCAGCCTAAGTCACACAGCCTATTCCAGGCCATCCTGAGCCATACAGCCTATCCCAGGCCAGCCTGAGCCACACAGCCTATTCCAGGCCAGCCTGGGCTGCAAAGTTAAGACCTTGTCTCAAACAGCAGCAGCATTTGCTGGGTAAAGGAGGACTCAGTGGAGGTGGGAAAGGCACAGGATGTATATGGCAGAAACACATTATATACACAAATAAAATTGCTAATGAATCACATTATGTATATTTAATTTCTTCAAGCAAAACGTTAAAAAAGCTTTTCTTCGGCCGGGCGGTGGTGGTACGCGCCTTTAATCCCAGTACTCGGGAGGCAGAGGCAGGCGGATCTCTGTGAGTTCAAGGCCAGCCTGATCTACACAGTGAGTTCCAGGAAAGGTGCAAAGCTACACAGGGAAACCCTGTCTTGAAAAACCAAAAAAAAAAAAAAAGCTTTTCTTCAAGTGCAGTCTCCAAAACTCAATGAGTGAATAAAAAGCACATTTAACGAGCCTCGGTTGCAGAGTTCACTAGAAGCCAATGCTTCTCAAGTGGAGTGGGAGCACGGGCTCTGAAGCACACCTGTCAGTGGCAGACAGAGACTCTCCTAAGATACAGGGAGGGGTCCTGTGTGGCACACACTGTGTTATTTCATGTCACGGGCCCTCCGACCTGTCTGCCCAAAGCTATCTATGCTTCCCATAGAGAGAGTGCAGGGACTGGGGGCGTGCCTACCTTCTGCTCTGAGACCTCAAACACTGCTTCGTGGACACCGCAAGCAAAAAGTGAGGTGGGCAGGTCGCTTAGATCCATCATCTCTTCCAAGTCGTCTTCATTTTCACCGAAGACCATCTCCTCTTCCTCCTCCTGGTCGCTGCTACAGAGATCTGACTGGCTATCATTCCAAGACTTCATGGTGTCTCGGAGCATCTTCTCTGTGGGTAAAGTTCTAGGATATCTGCCAGACACTTACTGCTTAAAAAAAAAAAAAAAAAGGGAAACAACAGAGAAAAAAACTGAGGGCCTTATCATGTTCAGTCAATCTATTTCTCAAGACAGCAATTCATCAAACAAAATGACTTTATCCAGGAAAGATCAATCAGCATTTAAGTCAGCTCCAGCTCTCACAAATGAATTTTCTATCTACAAATCTGATTTGTGTAGCAGATTTTATGGGGCAATGAAATATGAAGAAGCAAAAAAGCAAGCGCTTCCTAGTGAAAACGGCATGAGGAGGATAATGTGACATGAGCGCGTCAATATGTACTTTAGTTTACAAGCAGAGCGAGGCAAAGTGGGAGCCAGAGCGCCCTTCACATATTTGTTTTGGGTTTTAGGTGGAAAATACTGGAAGTGGCCCAGCAGAATCACACCCACACGGTCTGCTCGCCATCTGCACCCTCAAACGCTGTCTGTGAGGCTCTGCCTTTCTTAACCAGTCTGTTTTTTTTTTCTGGGCAGACTCTCAAATAATTAAGTTGCTTAGGTCTCCGAGTTCCCTCTAAAAGGTGTTCGTGGACACGCACTGCAAGTGTGTAAACACACTACTAAAGCTGGAAGACAATCCAGAGGACACACTTTTGAACTTTTAGACATTGTGCACTTAAAGTCAGGAGCCTCAAGCTGACACTGCCCCTCTGTAAAACACCGGGGCCAGCCGGGCGGTGGTGGCGCACGCCTTTAATCCCAGCACTCAGGAGGCAGAGCCAGGCGGATCTCTGTGAGTTCGAGGCCGGCCTGGGCTACCAAGTGAGTTCCAGGAAAGGCACAAAGCTACACAGAGAAACCTTGTCTCGAAAAACCAAAAAAAAAACACCGGGGCAGAATCTGCCTGTGTCTGGCTCTTCAGGGAACCACGCCACACTCACCATGCAGTGTCCCTTTGGACACGACATATTTCAAGATGACCTGGAACTGAAGAAAACCCATGAGTGACAGAGACACTGAGTGATCATGATTATTACGACTGCACTTGTGAGTTCCCCTTTCATTTCAAAGGACACAGGCTGCAGACACATTGCTTACATAGGATACATTCCCTACTGGTTGTTAACTATGGGATAAAAATAGCGGAGTTTCCCATTATTCTATACCACTCAAGAGATCTTAAAAAATTGCATCTCTATACTTGCTTCTGTCAATATTCTGGGCACCTACCGCCAGGCACTGGGAGACACCAGAGTAGTTCTCCTATAGGGCCATCCAGTCACATTCCCCAACAGGGCCTCATCCAACTGTCTGCCATACTATCCATTTCATCCACCTCAGCACATAAGCCTGTTCATGTTGCATCCCCAACATGCCCACCGTGCTGTCCGTCATCCACCTGCTCCTCTTCCTACCCACTCCCTGCAGAGTGGGCTCACCTAGCTTACTTCCTCCACTTCACTCCCCCAGGGTTTTGTCTTCCAGGCAGCTGCCGTTCTCTCTTGGCTTCAACTCCCCTCACTACTGACAAGAAAGGCCTCCTAAGCACCAGAACCCCCCTTCTGCAGTCACCCTCGATGCCCCCTTCCTTCACTCCAGTCTCTCCCTGCAGGCGGTCACTCTTTACCATGGGTCTCTGTGGTTTCAGCGCTGCCCCCTCTGGGGCCTTTAAGTTCTTAGTTCCCAAGAACTTAAAGAACTTCTCTGGGTGCCCCGTGTGCCGGTACCATGGTGTATTTCACACAACTGCTCCTAAGCCATGAAGGACGGCCTCAAAGCCATGGGGAAATGATGGCTGACTGTGCACTGCACAAAATGGAAGTCTGGAAAATATACCATGTCCCCATGAGCCTCAGAGCTTCTGAGCTGCCCCTTGGTGGCCCACAGGTCAGACAATCATTTTTAGCTGATTCTTTTCATTGCTGCATGAGAACGTTCCGGTCCGAGGGGAGTCGCCCTCCCCCTCACCAACCAAGGAGAGTGTCTCACTATGGCTTTCATCAGGGAGGGCCTGGGCTCTCACCGTCCTTTGCTCCCTTCTCTGTGCTAAGGCTATACGGCTGCTTACAAATCACTCCAGGCCTTCCAATTCCCAGGCCCTGCCAGTTTCCAACTCACAGCTGCTTAGTAAGGGCTGCTGAACACCAGGAGACAGCACGAGCTTCATGTCATGTCTCCATGTCACTGGCATGTCATCAACGACAGAAGAAAATTCAGTTCTGTCAGGAATTAGAGATGGGCCCCCAAAACAGCTGTGGAGGACAACAGCAGGCAAAGAATGGGGTGCAGTCAGGCACCAGGCACGTGTGCACGACGTCAGGAAGAGAAATGCTGGAAAGCTGGTAACGGTGTTTAGCTACCTTGAGTATGAAAGTGGGCTTCCTTTGTAGCTGGTCTATTAGAGGCATTAACTGTTTGTTTGTTTGTTTGTAATCCCCCATTTATTTTGTATTTATTCCCCCACTTAAAAGATGTCAGATGCCAGGTGGTGGTGGTGGCGTACGGCCTTGAGAAGGCAGAGGCAGGCGAATCTCGGTGAGTTTGAAGCCAGCCTGGTCTACAGAGTGAGTTCCAGGATAATCAGAGCTGTTACACAGAGAAACCTTGTCTCAGGGGAAAAAAATAAAGACCCCCCCCCCTCAAAAAATAAAGAAGTTGTGAGAAAGATGGACGTGGTAGCCCATGTCTTTAATCCCAGCACTTGGCAGACAGAGGCTGGTGGATCTCCATGAGTTCCAGGCTAGTCTGGTTACTTAGGGAGTGAGTTCCAGACCAGTTCCAGGTAGGCAGAGCTCCTTCAGGGAAGGGGACAGGGGGAAAGAAAACCAGCCCATTTTCTGCCTACATATGCGCAGCACTAAGGATCAAACCCATGGCCTTGATAATGCTAAGCCCATACTCTACTACTGGGCTACAGCCCTGGCCTCCAGTCTACTTTTGATAATTATTACTTTGTTTCAAGGTTCTTCCTCTATAGGACAAAAATTAAAATAAAAATAGAGCATAGGAAACAATCTTTGGCTTGACTTAGAATGTTATATATTCATTTTCTGTTTTTCTACCTTCAACTTGGGGTAACTTTCTTTTGATATAACTTCAAAAACAAATGATAAAAATGGGCTTAGGCATGATAGCTCATGTCTATAACCTCAGCACTCAAGAGCCTGAGACAGGAGGACTGCTATGAGTTTGAAGTCAGCCTGGATTACACAGTGAGTTCCATTTCTGCCTGGGTTACAGAGTGAGATACTACCTCTGAAAAAACAACACATTTTAGCTGGGGGTAGTGACACAAAGCTTTAATCCCAGCACTCAGGAGACAGAGGCAGGTGGATCTCTGAGTTCAAGGACAGCCGGAGCTATATAGAGAAACTCTGCCTCAAAAATCCAAAAGAGATGGCTCAGGGGTTAAGAGCACTGACTGCTCTTGCAGAAGACCCAGATTCAATTCCCAGCACCCACATGGCAGCTCACACCTGTCTGTAACTCCAGTTCCAGGGGACCCGACACCATGGCAAAACACCAATGCACATAAAAACAAAACCAAACCAAACAGAACAACAACAAAACCAACACATCTTTATATATAGGTACCAGACTGCCTTTTAACTTTATCATTCTCTCTCCACGCTATTAAAAAGTAAAGTATAGCATATATACTCCCAAATCAGCATGTGAGAGCAAGATCAATTTCTTTTTTTTTTTTTTTTTTTTTTTTTTGGTTTTTCGAGACAGGGTTTCTCTGTGTAGCTTTGCGCCTTTCCTGGAACTCGCTTTGGAGACCAGGCTGGCCTCGAACTCACAGAGATCCGCCTGGCTCTGCCTCCCAAGTGCTGGGATTAAAGGCGTGAGCCACCACCGCCCGGCCAAGATCAATTTCTTACACAGTAGCAAACCCCATCCACTTAACAATGATATAATAGTATTATCTATTTTAGTCTCTACTCAAATTTCGTTAATCATCCTAATAATGGCCACAATAGTGATTTTTCCTTCAAAATGACTTATTTGTTGTGGCACTAAGGGTTGAACCCAGGGCCCCCCACACTAGGCAAGTGCTCTACCACTTCGAGGCTTTCTAGCCCTCTTTTTTCCTGTATTTTGAGACAGAGAGGCACGGTCTCACTAAGTTGTCCAGCCTGGCTCCGAATACCCACTTTAGCCTAGGCAGGCCTTTAACTTTTGATCCTCTTGCCTCAGCTTCTCCATTAGCTGGGATTACAGGCCTATGCCACCAAGCCCAGATCAAAGGTTTTAGATTATCACTAAGTAATTTTGTTATGAGACTTACACATTTATATTCTTAAAAAGGGCAGACTGTGGAAATACACGTAACTGTGAACATGTCTGAGCCCTCCTTGACTGTCTCCAGAGAGGTCAGGATCCACCTTCAGACCTTCAGCACGGGAACTCTGGCCCCCACAGGACTCTGTTACTCTACCTATCTTACCTAACTACTTCTGGTGGGTTTAGGTTTGTTTTTTTATTTCTATTATCTCTTTATGTGTTTGTGTTTTACGTATGCATGTGTGCTGGTATGCGCCATGGTGTACATGTGGAAGTCAGGGGACAAGTTTCGGGAGTCCACTCTCTCCTACCATGTGGATGGAACTCTGGCCATGTTAGGCGTGGCAGCAAGTGCCTCTACCCCTTGAGCCATCTCACCAAACCCGCCTGCCTCTTCCTGGTTCCTCAAGTACAAAACAGAGATAATAATAAACTTTACTCAATAAAGACGTTGGGAGAAATTTAAATGTTCATATTCAGAATAATGCTTTGCACATGACCAGTGCTCAGTAATTCTTTTAAAACAAGCATGGGTTTCCTTGTTAGTTGGAAGGACCCAGGTAGCATCAGATCTGTTGGTAGAAATGATATTTACATCATAATATGGAGGGGGAAAAAACAACAACAAAACAACCCTCTGAGTGATCACAAACAAAGGAAGAAAAACCCATCGAAGTTTGTATGACCTCAAGAAAAGCAGGGAGGGTTTATCAGTAAACTGAGCTCCTGAATAGCCACTGATCTAGACACCTGCGTCCAGTGTGAAAACAGATTTAACAGAAAGACGCCACCAGCCCTATTTGTCACAAGGAAATGCATATGGTATCAGCCATTACTTGACAGATGTTGACTATCTTGCTAAAAACACACAATGAGGCTTTTTGTTGTTTTTGTTTTGAAGTCAACACGGTCAATCACTTCAGAATTTCCTGGCATTCTAAATGCAGTTAAAATTGAAAAGGAGATATGCATGGACATCACGGACGGTAACCTAGCAGCTACTTAGAAGCTAACGTTGGTTTCATTAAGGCCATGAGCAAACAGTAGGGAGGTGGGGCTAGGGCTCAGTGCTACAGCCCTTGCCTGGCACTAGGAGACTCTGGGATCCATTCCTAGCCCAGAGGTTCTATTCCTGATACAGGAATTGCTGCAACCTCCACCTGAGCCAATCCTGGCTTAGCAACATCTCCAGTGCTGCTCTACCCTGGCTGGCTTCTGGCAAATGGTTTCTTCATAGAAACATTAAATGAGTGGGAAACCTCCAAGGATCATGGCCATCTGCTCTGCTGCACCAGCCTTAGGACAAAACTAATCCACCAAGGCTGAATGCCAAGCAATTTCAGCTCATTAGGAAAAGGTAAATTCTTTCTCCTCTAGAACTTTTAAAAAATATTATGTTTCCCAACTTGGGGAACATTTTAATATCTTAGCCAGATTCTTTTTTTAAATGAGCAAAATGGCTACAAAAACACTAGAAGCAAATGTGTACTTCATTTGAATTTCTAATTTAGACTAAATTTTCCAAAAGAACATTCAGGACTGCCAACATCAGGGTTCTGAAGTCTACCATGATTCCTCTATCTTCCATTCCTTCTTATCAATCATTGACAGGTAGAATTCTACCTTTTTTTTAAGTAGTAATGACAAACAAAAACAGCATAATAAAGTTGGTGGAACGTTAGTGTAAAATAGGTTATAAAGATTAGATTTTGGAGGCTAGAAAGATGGGTTAGCAGTTAACAGCATGTATTGCTTTTGCAGAGGACCAGAGTTTGGTTCCTAGCTCCTACCTCAGGTGGCTTATAACTACCTGCAACTCCAGCTCCAGGGAATCCAATGTCCTCTTCTGGTCTCCACAGATACCTGTGCTCATGTGCATATACTCACACACAGACATAATTAAAAATAAATAAATCTTTTAAAAAGTTATATTTCTGGGGCTAGAGAGACGGCTCTTGCTCTTGCAGAAGAACTGGGTTCAGTTTCCCGAACCCACATGGGAGCTCATAACCATCAATAATTCCAGGATATCCAATATCTTCTTCTGAGGGCACCAGGCATGCATGTGGTACATATACATACAAGCAGACAAAACATTCATGCACATAAAGTAAACCTTTAAAAACTTAAAAATGACATTTCTGTATTTGGAGTGTTTTCAGGACCCAAAGTCACACCACTTTCTTGCTAGTCTGTAACTGTTCCTATCATCATCACTGATGTTCCTGCTCTACCTACTAGTATGAGAAAGACCAGAATGAAAGCAATACATGGCAGGGCTTTGGAGAGCAACTGATGCTATTTGCTTTGCTGCATATAACTCCTAACTCATCCTCCTGAACATAATCACTTCACTCTAGGGCGATGCACTCTCAACTCAATGGCTGAAAGATTTCTTTTTTCCTGTTCTCATATTGGGGATTGAACCTAGGACCTCAAGCACTTTACCATGGAGCTACATCGCTCCAGGCAAAGTTGAGCTTTCTGTAGGTTTCTGAAGCTAAGTCAAATGCTTCTGAACATTAAAGCCTGCAGCCACCGCACAGGGTCAGATGAATGGAGTTCTAAGTCACTATTTTTCACGCCTTTCCCCATTTTTGGATCCACATGTCCTGTAACATCATACAGCACTGCTTCTCATTTGTTAGCCTAAGACTATAAGGTTTGAAAACCTTAAAATGTGTCACAATTGAATAGTAAAGAAAAAACTCCCACGTTTCCCAAAAGCACTAAAACCTCCGCTCTTGGAAACTGGTTGCCAATGAGGTAAAATGTAAAGCTGTAGCGAAGACTAATAGGACACTAATTTTAATTTTTTTCATAACCCTCCTACATCCAAAGTCTATCAGACCGCTAAGAAAAAATCCCGATCAAAAAGAACAACTCTGCATGCTGCATAAACATCCAGACACTGAGACTTGATATATTTTTAATTTATTCTGGCTTTTTTATTTACCTGTATGTGTGTGCCTGTGTGTATGTGCATCAGGAATGTGTATGAGCCCTCAGAGGTAAGAAGAGGGTTGGGATCACCTGGACCTGGAGTTATAGACTGTTGTGAGCTGTCATATGGATGCTGGGAATCCAATCTCAGTCCTCTGCAAGAGCAGTAAGTGCTCTTAACAGCCGAGCCAGACCTCCAGCCCCAGTATTTAGCTGGAATATATTTACTTATTTAATGTATGTGTTTGCCTGTGGCCACAGCGACACTCATGTGGAGGTCAGAGGACACCTGCAGGAGTTGGTTCTCTCCTTCCACCACGTGGGTTCCTGGGATCCAGGAACTCCAGTGGTCAGCTTTGCAGCATCTACCTGCTGAACCGTCACACAGGATCAAATACTGTTTCACAGTTTGAAATACTGGACCAAAGGAAATGGCTTAGTGATAAAATAATAGGTTTGGGTTTTTTTTGTTTGTTTGTTTGTTTTCTGACAGGGCCTTGTTATGTGGTCCAGGCTAGCCTCCCAAGTATGGAGAGTATAAATGTTTGCCACACCCAGTTCTTAGAATAAGATTTTTAAGTAATCTCTAATTACAGATACAGATGAAATTATTTCTCTGGCCAAACAGTAGATGAAAGATTTCTACGAAAAGTTCAAGAAAATGTGTTGTACTAGATAGCTTTCAGTAGGGGGATGTGAGTATTTTTGGGTTTTAAACCCTACACTACAACATCACTCTAAATAATCCAAGTTCGAATCTGAAACACGGACGTGAGCAGCTACAATCTTAATCCCCTGAGGAGATGATGAGATTTCGCACGGAAGCTGGAACCGGGCAACCTGGAAACAGACCGCTATTGAAAGCGCGTCGGTTCAGGAGGCGGTCACAAGTTTCCAGAAGCCAGGGAAGCAGAGATGCACGGATGATTATTCCTGCATCCTGGGGGAGGGAGAGGGTGGGGGGAGGAGACTGGGGGCTTCCACCTGCTGCCGTCCCTGTTTTACTGGCCACACCTTTCCTGCCTTCGGGGGCAGGTTGGGCCTGCCATCTTTCAAAAAGTCGTGCAGTTGATGGAGAAATTGGTGGTGGAGGAGGAAGGACTTGGGGGCGAGGGGTGTTTTGTAGGATGTCACCCCGATGCGTCCGGGGAAGACCCTGGGGACCAGGCGGCTGGCCCTTAGCAGCGTCTAAGGGGCTCCGGGCAGCTCTGGGCGGCTGCGGCTGCGGCTGCGGCTGCGGCTGCTTTAACTTTCAAGGGTCCTGAGCATCCATCAGCCAGCGCCGCTGCAAACCTGCTCCCGGCGGCCGCGCGCCGGCCCCGCCCTGCGAAGGGGACACTCACCTGTGCACTCGAGGGGAGAGGCCCGGGGGTGACGAGCACCGCCTGGGGCGGACAGACCCCCTCCGCCCGGGGCCGCGAGGAGCCGCCACGCCCTCGACGCCGGCCGCTGCGGCCGCCTCAGCCGGGGACGCGGGCGGTGACTTGGGCCCGAGCGAGGTTGCCGGCGTCGCGCGCCTCACGCCCTCCCCTCGGTTCCTCCCGCCTAGCGGGGCGCGTCGCGCAGGCGCACAGACAGGTGGGCGGGGCTGCCCGCCGGGTGGGCGGGAGTCGCGGCGTGGTGGGCGGGGCTCCAGGGGCGGGGCAGGTTCTGCGCGCGCGCACTCGCCCGCTCCTCCTGGCTCTCTGGCCGGGCTTGTGAGGGGCTTGGGCGGGAACCCTGAGGCACAGGCTTTCTGTGACCTCCAAAGCGAGATCTTTGACGACCCCTACATATCCGCCGCGACCTAGAAACCTTTCCTCTCTCTTCTTGCTGGCCCCCCCCCCAGGACAGTGTCAGGAACAGCTAGCGAGGATACTGGGAACCTTCTCAGGGCCAGTTCCTGTGAGCTTCACCGGGGAAGCTCCCGGGAACCCGCCAGCCGGATGTGCCAGACCGCGCCCCGCAGCCCCCGCCGCCCAGCAGAGGCGACGGCGACGTCGCCGAGCTGTGGGTGTCACCAGGTGTGTGACTGCACCCGCCCCACCCCTTCCCTCCGTTGCACCCTGCACCGATGTGCAGTATTAATGATGTTTGCGTTTGCCTTTCCATGCACGGTCTTGCTTGTCTCCCATGGAGACAAGGGCTACATTCATTCTGTCTCGGTCGAGGTCTCCGCCAGTGGAAGCACCGAGGCTGGCTAGCAGCACTGCGGTAGTTGAATTACTGTTGCTGAGACCAGCCTGGTGGGGAGCGGTGCCTTCCTTCGGCTCCCAGACCGGGTGGCAGGTGCGGAGCTGGAGATCTTGTCTCAGCTCCCGCTGGAAGGAATCTGCTCACCTTGTGGTTCAGCGGTGAGGGTGTTTGCTCCCAGCCCGGGACCAACATGGTGGAAGGAGAGAACCAACTCCCACAATTGTTCCTTGACCTCCACACGGCTGCTCTTCCAAATTAAAAAAAAAAAAAAAGTAAAAGAGTTCAAGGCCAGCCTGGTCTACAAAGTGAGTTCCAGAACAGCCAGGGCTACACACCTGTGGTGGTGGTGGTGGTGGCGGTGGCGGCGACAATAAGGTAAAAGAAAATCGGCTCTGGTCACTCAAGACCCTTGTAGGACAATTGAAACAAAGGGGTCAAAGTCAAGGGCACAGAGCTGTCACTCAGGGAGGGTCCTGGACACAGAATGCAATAAAATTCGTAGCATCCTCATCAGAGTTAGAGTTCAGGAGGGCCTGTGTCTCCTGCAGTGTCTGCAGCAGGGTCACAGGGTTACATCCCTCTGCTTTAGGAAGTTTCTGCAGCTTCCCACCCTGGGGCTGCTGAGCAATCTTAACAGGCTGAGTTCTTCACTTTTTTTTTTATGAAAGAATGCTTGCAGAGAGCGTCTTCTGTTGTCAGGGTCACACTAGGAACCATAGTCATTTTCTCATCTGAAGTTCTCTTAACACAGCAGTTTCTGAGGTGGCTCCGCTGGTAAGGTACAGGGTTCAGTGAGAGACCATGTCTCAAAGTAAATAATAAGCAAATAGGGAACAGTTGAGGAAGACACCCAACATCAATTTCTGGTCTCCACATACATGTGCATGTGTGTACAAACACAGAGACATGTATCTATCACACACCTACACAATGGAGTTTTAGGTCAATGAGTCTGGGAACTGCTGCATTCGCTATCCCTGCTTAGGGATACATGAGCTATGGGAGCACAGGAATGGCTGGGAGCCAGTCTAAGTTAAAAGCCTGGGCCAGCCTTGCATACCTGTTTCCTTGGGTACTAAGGCCCTGTGCTGGGGGTTGAGCTCAAGGGACAGCTCAAGGAACTCACCAAGGGAGTTCACCCCGACACACATACGTACGTAAACTCCTAATGCTCCCATCTGCTGGAACCCTGGAGGTCAGAGAAACCTGTTTCTATTCCTGAAAGGTGATGGACAGAGAGCTGGCGTTGTGGGCCACTGCTTCCTAACTGTGGAAGAGGAATTCAGATCCGAGGTGACCATGGCTTGGACGAGAGCCATGGAGGTGGCAGTGGGGAGAAATGGCAGGATTGTGGATGTCCTCCAAAGGCAAAGCTAACAATATTCACTCATGAGAGGCTTGGAAATTATGAGTAGAGAGGAATGGAGGGTGGAGGTGGGTGGGGAACACACTCCTGGGCCCCCCGCAGGTCAGTGGAGGTCGGTGTGGTGTCGGCTGAATCCATGGGCTCAGCTGAGATGGCCCAGAGAGAGCAGGCAGAACAAAACACAAAGGTCAGAGATCAAAAGCCAGAGGTCAGGTCTGTGTGCCTGCCTTCACAGCAAAGGAGGAGTTGCTGCCTGCTTTGTGAACAAGAGCGGGAGATTGAGAGAGCAGGAATGGAATCTTCCACATCCTTCCTCCCCTCCCCTTTGTGTCTGGCAAGGCGACGGGCGCTGTGTGTAAGGAATGTTTGTTATGAATGAGGTTGGCACAGACTCCCATTCCCGAGGCACCCTTCCTCGCCTCACCCCCATGGTTTGAGTTACAGGCAGAGAGAAAACGATCGCTCGGTCAATTGAAACCAGGGCTAAGGTTGATAAGCATTCCCTGTCCCACAAAACTCAAGGAGAGCCTGTTAGCTGATGCCTCGGGTCCTAAGTGGCATGGCTCCTGCAGGAAAGTTTCCAGACATGCGATCTCATTTCCGATTTTCGCATCCAGTGTGCGTGGATTAAGCTGTCAATACACTGAAAGCATCCTTGATGGGTCTGCTGGGGGAGGAGGGATATAAAGGCTTGTGACTGTTTCCAGAGATGGTTTGCCACTTTATCCACTGAATGTACACCTAACCTGTGATCCGGAAATTCCACTCCTGTGTATATACTGAAGAGGAATGTCCAACTCCACCCCACCCCACCCCCACCCCCAAAAAGAAAGAAAAGAGGGTAGGGAGATGGTTCTGTGAATAAAATGTTTATTGCACAGGTATGAGGATTGGTGTTCAGATCCCTAGTGCTCATGTCAGTACTGAGGGGGCGTGACATTTACCTGTAATTCCAGCAGAAGACTGAGACAGATCATCTCTGGAGCAAGCTGGCAAGCTGGATTAGCTGTGTTAGGCAAGCTCTGGGTTCACTTGGGAGTCCCTGCCTTACTGAATAAAGTGGAAAGCAATTGGGGAAGACTTGATGTCCCTGATCCTTCCCAGACACGTGCACAAATGTGCATGCATATCCATAGATAACATTATAAGTGCCAGGCGCGCGCGCACACACACACACACACACACACACACTTTTTAAAACATTTTATTTAATTTTATTTTTTGGTTTTTCAAGACAGGGTTTCTCTGTGTAACAGCCCTGGGTGTCCTGGAACTCACTCTATAAACTCGGCCTGCCTCTGCCTCCTGAGTGCTGGGATTAAAGGTGTGCACCACCACCGCCCAGCCACACTTTTTTTTTTTTTTTTTTTTTTGGTTTTTCGAGACAGGGTTTCTCTGTAGCTTTGCGCCTTTCCTGGAACTCGCTTTGGAGACCAGGCTGGCCTCGAACTCACAGAGATCCGCCTGGCTCTGCCTCCCGAGTGCTGGGATTAAAGGCGTGCGCCGCCACCGCCCGGCCTTTTTTTTTTTTTTTAAAAGAGACTTGTCTAAGAATTCTCTGGATATGTTTACTCATTCATATATCTCCAAGTTGGCAGTGTCTCACAGACCCATCAGCTGAATGACTGGGCATCTTAAACATCTGTGCTATCTGTCTTAGTTCTTTTAACTGACTAACAGAACCAAGCTTTACTTTCTTTTTTTCTCTCCCCCTTTTCTCTTTTTTCTTAAGACAAAGTCTCTAGCCCAGGCTGGCTACGATCCCTCCGATGTAGCCGATGATGGCCTTGAACTTTTGATCCTCCTGATTCCACCTCTGCACTGCTGGGGATTACATGTGTGTACTACCACACCTGATTTATGACATTCTGGGGATGGAACTCAGGGCTTTGTATATGCTAATTGAACACGACCAAATGAGCTACATCCCCAGCCCCCAAGTTAATTTTTTTTTTAATCTAGTAAGATATGAGCAAAAAGAACTGTTATTTATTAAGTGGCACAATGTTATTCATTAAGCGGCACTGTTTACCGTGCAAGAAAACCCACGAGGTACAACAAAACCCACTGTAAGAGTTTATTGAGGGAAAGGAATAGGAAAGATGGGCATAGGCCTATGGAATGACTATGCAGGAAGAGAGAGGAGTAAGTAGAACCCGTTTTTATATGTCCCCCCACCTCCCCACCCCACCCCCACCCCCAGCACATGTGCATATTGGCTTACGTAGCTACATCACGCATGCACATAGATTATGTGATCTCTCTGTGTGCAAATTATGTGATCACACAACTCCCGGATTTTAGGACATAAGGCCCTAGGATGACTAAGCATCTTTCCAGTGCATGCGGTCGTGTAGCTGGGGGAGTGGCTGGGAATTCTAACAGGAACTTGTCTTTATTATAAAGCGTACTCTTTGCCTTTGCCATTCCTCTTTTTTCCTAGCCTGCAATGTGAAGACAGTGGCTGGAGCTGCAGCAGCCATTATGGACCAGGAAGTAACTCTCAAGACGGCAGCTACATGTGGGATGTTGGCCCCAGAAGATTAGGGGTCTAGAACAAGTTTTACAGGTGTCGGACTAGTCTGTTCGATGATGTGACCCCAGCTCCTATAACAGTATCTGGTGCTGGTAGAGCATAAGGGCTCCACCACTGTGGAAGAAAAGGGGAGGCAGGAATCACCTGCTGCTGTTCGTGAGAGAGATGGAGTCGGAAGAGATCACACTGGGAAAGGAAGCTGAGAGGCTGGGGGCTGAACTCTAGGGGTCAATACCACCCTCCCACACCCCACCCCTCACCCCCCAACTACCTGCCTGTGCTACTGATTAAATTCAGGAATCCACCATCTACTGTAATGAAGCTCCTGAAATGGATCCGTCTCCCTGGTAACATATCTTGTATCTACTTCTTCTGGTGAGTCAGCCATTTCCCCATCAGGAGCCACAATGTGACCCAGAGATTTAAAATATATACATATATATTTGGTGTACCTGTGTGTACACATCCCATGTATGCAGCTGTGTGAAGAGCAGCTTTTAAGAGTTGGTTCTTTCCATACTGTGGGACCTGGGAATCAAACTCAGGTTGTCAGGTCTGTCAACAAGCACCTTTTATCCACTGAACTTATATTACCCTGTTATCGGGTAGTTTCTTTCTTTTTTTAATTTTTATTTATTTTTATTTTATGTGCATTGGTGTTTTGCCATGGGTGTTGGGTTCCCTGGAACTGGAGTTACAGCCAGTTGTGAGCTGCCATGTAGATGCTGGGAATTGAACCCCGGGTCCTCGGGAAAAACAGTCAGTGCTCTTAACTGCTGACCAATCTCTCCAGCCCTCAGGAAGTTTCTTAAAGGCACAACTTTCAACATTGGTTTGGAATGAGTTCTGTAGACTTGGGATACTTTAAATGTTCTCATTATAAAAATTGGACTTGGCAGCTGGGCATGTTGGCACACTCCTTTAATCCCAATACTCGGGAGGCAGAGGCAGGCAGATCTCTGAGTTCGAGGTCAGCCTGGGCTACAGAGTGAGTTCCAGGACAGCCAAGGCTACAGAGAGAAACCCTGTGTTGAAAAAAACAAACAAAAAATTGAACTTGGCCTTTATAGATAATTTGAAAGCAAATGGTAATAAGAAAACTGAAATCAGCTACAACCCAGAGCTAGCCATTCTTCAATATTTTGGCATATTTCCTCTTTATAATTAGATTGGCTGTTGGGATCATTCAATTTGGACCTCCCATCTATTTGCTTAATGCCAGTAAGTATTTGCTTGTGTTTCAAAAATTATTTTCAAATGTTTTAAAATAATGATCTAAAACTTCACCCTGTGCAATCAGTTAACTAATTGGTGAATCGAGGTCTCTTGCAAACTTTCTCTTGTACAATTAACCATCCAATGAATGCTTTGTACAGAGTACATTATTGCATCCATGTTTGTTTCAGGGTTCCAGAAGAGGACAGCATGCCAAAGAGCATGAACATGCACAAACTCAGGAAATGACAGACCCACTGCAGGAGGCTTGCAGCGCCCACCCCTCCCACATCCTCCATGTGTACCTCACCACATCCCTCATAGCACCGACTGAGGCGTTGAAGAGGCTTTCCTGTTCCGGTTCTACAGGCAGAAAGCAAACAACAGCCGCAACATGGCGTCTGGATCACAGGGTGGGGTGACCCCGACTCTATCTGCTCCTCAGGGGAAACTGCCCAAGTTCACTGTGGATTCTCTCACTGAGCTATTAGCATGGCTTGACTGAGTACAGACCACACTGCGTTTGCTGGACAGTTTCCCTTTTGAAATCTTCTCTCTCTCTCTCTCTGGTTAAGATTTGTATTTTTTTTTTTTTTTTTTTTTTTTTGGTTTTTCGAGACAGGGTTTCTCTGTGTAGCTTTGCGCCTCTCCTGGAACTCACTTGGTAGCCCAGGCTGGCCTCGAACTCACAGAGATCCGCCTGGCTCTGCCTCCCGAGTGCTGGGATTAAAGGCGTGCGCCACCACCACCCGGCAAGATTTGTATTTTTTATGCTATTGCTTTGTACCTACCTTTCAATTTTACTGTGAACTTTTTATTACATTTATTTATTTCTGTATGCATGTGCATTCTCTCTATCTGTGTAGGACAGAGGACAACTTGAAGTACTGCAAGCCGCAGGAAAACATAATGGAATTCAGCTACTATCACAAAAGCTACTACTTGGAAAAGTCAAGGACTTCTCCAAAGGTCAAGCCATGACTTAAGAAGTCTTGGTGATATTTTAGCTTTTATATATAGCTGGTTCTACAGTGATTTTCTTGTAAGGCTATGCGTGCTTCCAAGAACTCCTAACAGTGTATTTATCTAAAATATCTATCAGGCATCCAAGGCCAAATGAAACAACACCTGTCTCTTAGGTCAGGAGTGTAGCTAGAGTTTTCCTGCCTGGCCCATAGTCAGGACAAATCTCTCTCCCCTGCCAGTCCCACAGCCGCTCAGACCCAACCACATAAACACACAGAGACTTATATTACTTACAAACTGTATGGCCGTGGCAGGCTTCTTGCTAACTGTTCTTCTATCTTAAATTAACCCATTTCTATTAATCTATACCTTGCCACGTGGCTCGTGGCTTACCAGCATCTTTACATGTAGCTTGTCATGGCGGCAGCTGGCAGTGTCTTTCTGCCTCAGCCTTCCCCTTCCCAGAATTCTCTTCTCTGCTTGTCCCGCCTATATTTACTGCCTGGCTACTGGCTAATCAGCATTTTATTTATACAGAGTGATATCCACAGCACAGGATGATTGATGGCTTTATTTCTTGTGCAATTTAGGGTGAGAACCTCCTTCCTTACAGCCTTACTAATAGACTCCTAATTTCTTACCTAACTACTTCCAGGAATGTAGACTGAGCACATAGATCCCCTTCTTGATAAACTAACCGATCATTAGCTCTCAATTGACCTCCTCCTTTAACCACTCTGTTTTCAGGTTGTAAAAGAAAGCCTGACAGTCACTGCCTGAGGAAAATTCTTACCTGCCTTTATGACCCTGTAGGAATTCAAACCTGGTGGCCTGGCTGGAGGGGGAGGATTGCTATGGCTTGGGTTTATAACTGACCACCTCAGAGACTTGAGAGGACTTAGAGGTATAAGGAGACGGAGAGGAAGAGAGGAGTGGAGAACTTGAGGATGGAGAACTGAGAGGGATGAGGAGGATTTTGACCAGAGAGAACTTGTGGATGAGATGGAAGGTGAGGAAGAGCCAGATGGGGAAGTACTAGCTGGGTAAGAACAAGATGAGAAGGACCTAGATGAGGCAGAATTATGACGAGAGAATTAAGATAGAACTTAGAGGGAACAGTAGATAAAGGTAGAGAGAAATCAGGTAAAAAAGGAGCTAGGCACGAGAACAGAACTGAAGCTGTATAGATAGGATTTTATCTCAGAAATAAAGTAGACGGACAAAGAACTTGGTGTACTTAGATTCATTTCCCAAAAATAATTCTCGATGTTCGGAGTTTCTCTCCTGAGCCCCTGTGAAGTATAATATTAAGGCTGGTCCTTTTAATATTATACAAGATTGAAGGGGTCAGATTTTTCTTTCTATCATGTGAGTCCCAGGAACTGAACTCAGGTCACCAGGCTTAGTGGCAAGGACGCTTACCACTGAGCCATCCTGTTGGCATGTAACACTCACATTTTTGTTTTATATTTTGTTGAAACTCACTGTGTCATTTAGACTGGCCTCAAGCTCAAGGCAATTCTCCTGCCTCTGGCTCCAGAGTGCTGGAATTACAAGTGTAAATTTTCACACTTCACTCTTTAAATTATTCTTTCCAGTGACTTTAAAGAATCATGCTGGAAAGATGGCTGAGCACGTCAAGGTCCTTGCTGCACAATCCTAAGTGAGTTGGATCCCCAAAATCCATGTAAAAAGTTGGATGTGTTAGTGCCCATCTGTTGTCCAGAACTCCCTCAGTGAGATGGGCAGGGGTGACAGAAATCCACTAGAAGCAAAGGAGACCCAGCCACAGCAAGACAGAAGTCAAGAGCTGACTCCTGACTTCTAACAGGTGCGCTGTGTGCCATGGCAGGCACATGTGTGAGTGCACACACACATGTGCATGCATACACAAATTAAGAAAGAACCCATTTTCCCAATGTTTCATATAAATACAACTATATAGCAGTATGTATGTGTGCATATGTTATATTACATATATTTCCAGGTTGTTTATTTTCTTTCTTCCTCTTTTTTTTTTTTTAGACAGGGTCTTACTATATAGTCCTGGCTGGCCAGGAACTCTCTCTATAGTCCTGGTTGGCCTTGAATTTATGGAGGTCCATCTGCCTTTCCCACCATGCCTAGCCAGGTTGTATCTTACATTTAGATATCTGTTAATAGAAACTGTTTAGATAAGTCTAGTTTTATTCTCTAGAAGAGAATGTCAGAGTATTCTTATTTCCAGACACTTTGAGGAAAGTTTTAACAGTCAGGCACGACAGTGCACTCTTGGCATCTCAATGCTTAGGAGGTGGAGGCAGAAGGATCAGAAGTTCAAGGTCATCCTTGGCGTTCAAGGCCAGCCTCAGATACATGAGACACCGTCAAAAAAAAAAAAAAAGACAAGTGAACTGTTGCAATTGATTGAGCTGTCTCTGAGGCTCAAACGGGTGGACCTGATCCTGTGTCATGGACCAGATTCTGTGTCATGTAGCTCCACATGACAGGATGGAATTTTACCTGTGATCCCAAACACCCTGAAAAGGATATATTTCCACATCCAAGCCTCAAAATTATCCTTTTGTTTGTTTGTTTGTTTTGTTTTGTTTTTCGAGACAGGGTTTCTCTGTGTAGTTTTGGTGCCTGTCCTGGATCTTGACCTGTAGGCCAGGCTGGCCTCCAACTCACAGAGATCCACCTGGCTCTGCCTCCCGAGTGCTGGGATTAAAGGTGTGCACCACTGCCGCCCGGCCAGGACTTTTTTTTTTTAAGATAAAAATTTAATAGTTCACCCAGCTTTTAGTTAAGAGGTTACATTTTTCTAGAAACTTCCAGAAACAGTTAACAGAGTCTCAAAACCATCTAATGCCGAAGGTACCATTGTTATCTATGTTAAAATGAGGAGGAACTAGGCTTAAAAAATGTGAGATTTGGGGCCAGTGAGGTCACACAGCAGATAGATGAAAGTGCCTACTGCCAAGCTGGGGACCTGAGTTCCATCTCTGGAGTCCAGATGGTGGAAGGAGAGAACTGACTCTTGCAGTTGTCCTCTGGTCCCAAATGTGCTGTGGCATGAAGGAGGCCACATACATGTGCACACACATGCATAAAATAAATAAACGGAAAATATGAGATTTGCTCAGGTGGAGCCAATAGGTAATGGTACCAGCAGGGATATTCATTTATTTACCTGTTTATTTTGTTATTTGTTTTTGGTGGTGGGGATGGAACCCAGGGCATTGTGCATGCTCTGTCACTAAGCTGCACCTCAGCCCTAGAGGCCTTTAAGATTTTTTTCTTTTGTTTTTGTTTTTTGAGACAAGATTTCTTTGTGTAACAGCCTTGGCTATCCTGGAACTCCTCTGTAGACCAGGCTGGCCTCGAACTCACAGAGCTCCACCTGCCTCTGCCTCCTGAGTGCTGGGATTAAAGGCGTGTGTCACCACCACCCTGCTGGCCTTTAAGTATTTTAAGTCACTTGGTTTTTGCTTACTAGAGAGAGAAGTCGGGGCTCTGTGCATGCTAGGCAATTGCTCTATGAATTGAGTTGTCTCCTAGTTAGCTTTAATTATCAATTTGACACATACTAGAGCTGTGGGGTTTCTGCAGCCTCCACAGCCAGCAGAGTGATGATCTGTTGGAAGCAAGAAGGTAGTTCAGTTCACTGCAACTAAACAGCCAATGTTGATTCAAACTTCAGGAGTCTGATCCCAGGTTGTTTATTTTAGGCATATTTAAGCACAGCACAGTTTGGTGAAAACTTTTCTAGTGATAATTAACTCAGTCCTGTGTGCACAATAAAGCACACATACATCTTTCTGAGGAGCCAAGTAGGCTAAATAAAGATTGGATGTGACTATGTAGAAACTCTTTGTAAAGTACATGTGACACCTTCCATAAAGGTAGGTCCTATAGATTGACTAAGAAAAACAAGCTATGATAAGGGTCTCAGGGAGGGTCTGGTGTGGTCTCCAGTCACACAGATAGTGCAAAGGTCACCAGGCTAGAATGCACATCTGCTCCCAGCCTTCTGGGATGATAACAGGTTAGGCATTCCTTCCCTTGAAAGAACAACCCTGTGTGCCAACATTCCAGGGTCCCCTAGTGCTTATGGGTGAGCATGATGACCTTCGTACCTCCTACATAGAGTCAATCTGAGAAGAAGCCTTGGTCGAGGACTTGCTTAGATCAGATTGGCCTGTGGGCATGTCTGTGGGGGACTGTCTTGATTGTGAATTGGTGTAGGAAGGTCCAGCCCACTGTGGGTGGTACTATTCCTAGGCAAATGGTCCTAGGCTATATAAGAAGCTAGCTAAACATGAGGCTGTGAGTGAGCCAGCAAGCATCCTCCTCCATAGTTTCTGCTGTACTTTTGGCTGTGAGTTCCCTGGTTGGAGGTAATGCACGGAACAGCAAGCAATCCGTCCTGATTTCCCTCACTGTGACTGGAGATGTAAGAGGAAACAAACCCTTTCCTTCCCTTAGTGGCCTTTGGTCAGAGTGTTTTATCACAGCAACAGATTGAAACTAGAACAAGCTTTATCCCCAGCCCAGCTGTCATCTACTTTCTGCCTCTATGAATATCAGCACTCCAGGGAGCCTCATCTCCATGGA